AGTCAATCCACATTACAGTATATTCTGTCTTGAGACAACTCATTTGCTATATCAAATGCAAGGATTATTATTATCACAAACTCTGGTGTACACACAATTATTCATGTACACACAGCTATGACAACAACAATAAGATTATATTTGTATAGCGCCTTTCACGTCGGGAGGATGTCCCAAGGCCCTAACCCAAGCTACACACAAGCACTGATATACTCCTGGACAAATACATACAGAAACATTCACAGAGGTACAGGTAGACACATAAATCCATGCAAAATAAATACGTAGACATGTATAACTGCAGAATAAGGCAGATGAACTAAAGAGAAATGTACACAAACACTGACCAAATAGTCATAAAGCGCACAGACAAATGTGTATTTGGGCTCACCAAAACCTGGCTCTCCCCCAATGACCCCGTCCCCCTAGTGGAAGCCAACCCTCCAGGCTACATCTTCCACTGCAGTCCCCATCCAAGCCAACGTGGTGGCAGGTTGGCCTTCATTTCCAAAGCCTCCCTTGGTCTCACCCCGTACTCTGCCTGCTTCCCCTCCTTTGAACACCTCACTCTCTTGCACCCCTCTCTCCCATTGAAAATCTTCCTTGTCTACTGCCCCCCTAAGCCCCCCGGCTCCTTCCTCACAGACATCTCCACTCTCCTCTCTTCCCTGTCCCTCTGCTCCGAGCGCCTACTCATAATGGGCGATTTCAACCTCCACCTAAACTCCCCTTGCACCAATTCTGCCGATTTCACTGCCCTCCTCCTCCCTAAACCTTACCCTTCATATAAACTCACCGACCCACAACCGTGGTCATGCACTTTACCTCGTTATCACCCACGGCCTTAACATTTCCAACCTCAGCATAGTGGACAAGGCCATTTCGGACCACTTCCTCATCTTCTTCTCCTCTCACATCCCTCTCTCCTCCACCAAGCCCTCAACCATCCTCTACCGCCCTTGGAAAAGGCTACCCCCTGAGATCCTCACAAAGGCCCTCTCATCATCAAATATTCTATCCCTCTGGCCTTCCACCCGCAGAGATCCTGAAGCAGCCGTCCAGCTGTTCCATGATCGCCTCTCCTCCACCTTCAACGCCCTTGTCCCCCTAAAATCCAGTACCATCTCCAAACCCACCCGATCCCCCTGGTACAACAACCATCTCCGCTCTCTAAAAAACAAAACTCGGCTGCTCAAGCGCAGATGGCGGAAAACTGGCCTGACAGTTCACCCCCAGCTGTGGCTCGAGCATCTCCACAGCTACCGCCGTTCTTTGACACGCGCAAAAACGGCCTTTTACTCCAACATCATCTCGGAGGCTAAACACAACTCACCACCCACTACCTCCTCCATGCCACCCCTCGGGCCTCCTCAATCTTCATATCCAATGCCGTGCGAGGAGGTCATGGACTTCTTCTCATCTAAAATTCACAAAATCTGCCAGGCAGCCTCATCCTCCTGCGTCTTGTCACCCACCACCACCCCCTCTCCACCCCCCTCACCATTATCTGCTCCTACCACCACCCCCATCCTACATTCCCTCCTCCCCATCTCTCCCTCCTCCCTCTCACCCACCATCACCTCCCTGAAACCCACCACCTGCTGCCTCGACACCCTCCCCACCAACTTGCTGGTCACCAGCTCACCCTCCTCTGCCCACTACTGGCTGATGTCACCAACCAGTCCCTCTCCTCTAGATCAATCTCTGCCCCCCTCAAAACTCCTGTCATTATCCCCCTCCTCAAAAAACCCTCCCTAGATCCCTCAAACCCCAGCCACTACCTGCCCTTCCTCGCTAAAGTCTTAGAACGCATTGTTGCAAATCAACTCCGCGCTCACCTCTCCTCCGACTCCCTCTTCAAACCCCTCCAGTCCGGTTTCCACTCTGCCCACAGTACAGAGAATGCACTTGTGAAAGTCACAAACGACATCCTCTCTATCTGTGACCAGGGCTCCCTCTGCCTCCTTGTCCACCTGGACCTCTCCACTGCGTTTGACACAGTCGATCACACCATCCTCCACTGCCTTTCCTCCGGCATCCACCTCAGTGGGACCGCACTCGCCTGGTTGGAGTCCTACCTCACAAACCGCCAGAAGTACATCTGCTCAAACGGCTTCTCCTCCCGCTCTCACCCAGTTAACTGCGGGGTACCCCAAGGATCCATCCTTGGCCCCCTCCTCTTTCTGATCTACATGCTCCCTCTTGGGGATGTCATCCGTAGACATGGGTACATTTCCACATGTATGCGGATGACACCCAACTTTATTTTTCCACCTTTCTTTGCGACCCCCAGTCCCCTGATGTTCTGTCAGCCTGTCTGTCAGACCTCAGGGGCTGGATGAGTGCAAATTTCCTTCAACTGAACGTCGACAAGATGGAAGCCATACTCTTTGGCTCTCGTCAACGTTTCAAATCCCATGGCTCTCACCTCCTCCACCTACCCGACCTCCCCCTAAAACTCTCTGAACCCATACGCAACCTAGGCATCAGGTTCGACCCCCAATTATCCTTCTTCCCCCACATCCGGTCCCTCACCAGCACCGTCTTCTTCCACCTCCGACGCATCGCCCGTCTCCGCAAATACCTCTCTCCAAAAGCCGCTGAAAGCCGCTCTGAGATGCTGTCCGGCGTGGAGGGCGCTATATAACAACAAGACAACAACAAGATTCCATTTATAAAGCGCCTTTCACGTCAGGAGGACGTCCCAAGGCGCTGCACAGTTGGGTCAGGACCCGAGCATTGGGGGGAAATGGTCAGGGTGAGGGGAGGGAAGGGAGGGAGCGAGGAGGGGGGAAATGGTCAGGGTGAGGGGAGGGAAGGGAGGGAGCGAGGAGAGGGAAGAGAGTCGAGAGGGGAGCTGAAGGCTCGGTCAAAGAGAAAGGTTTTGAGACCGGCCTTGAAGGAGGAGAGGGAGGAGGCGGCGAAGGCACTGGGGGATGGAGTTCCAGAGCCTGGGGGCTGAGAGACTGAAGGCCCGACCACCGATGTTAGGGCAGTTGGGGCGGGAGACGTGGAGCAGACCGGAGCCAGAGGAACGGAGGGTACGGGCAGGTAGGTAGGGGGATAGTAGATCAGAGAGGCAGGAGGGAGCAAGGCCGTGGATGGCCTTGTAGGTGAGGATGAGGATCTTGAATTCGATCCTCTGGGGGATGGGGAGCCAGTGGAGGTGAGCGAGGGTGGGAGTGATGTGGTCCCGAAGCCTGGTGCGGGACAGTACACGAGCTGCAGAGTTCTGAATGACCTGCAGTGTGGAGGGAGGTGGCGGGAAGGCCGGCGAGGAGAGAGTTCCCATAGTCCAGCCTTGAGGTGATAAAGGCGTGGACCAGGGTTTCAGCAGCGTGAGGGGTGAGGTAGTGCCGTAGTCTGGCGATGTTCCGGAGGTGATGGAAGGCGGTGCCAGTTGTGGTGCGGATATGAGGGAGAAAGGACAGCTCAGGGTCGAACAGAACCCCGAGGTTCCTGATGGCTTTGAGAGGTGGAGAGTGCAGCCTTGGATGCTGATGGTGTCAGCGCCTGAGGTGCGGAGGCGCTGACGTGAGCCAATCAGGAGGGCCTCAGTTTTGCGCACGTTGAGCTGAAGAAAGTTGTCTCTCGTCCATATAAGTTGTTGTTGTTGTATATCTATAGACACACAAAATATGCAGATACACAAATCCACCCCAAATTAATGTGCTGAAACATATTCCCACAGAATAAGAGAACCCCTTCCCTCTCCACACACACACAGATTAACATCCACTGAAATAAGTGAGCAAATTTCTAATCATCCTTGTATTTGATATTGCGCCGTATCACGTCTTCGAGACATCTCAAAGCGCTTCACAGAATATACTGTAAAATGGATTGATTATGGATGTTTTGGGTGAAATGTTCCTTTTTTTGAAGTGATTTTTGAAGTTAAAGGAAATTGTGACCCGGGACTGTTGTTTCTTGTTTAACAATCCCTTAACTTTTAAATTGCATCAATTCCCTGAGAGCCTCTGAGCATTATTGTTATTAGTAGTAGTATTATTGTTATTACAATAAACTCATGATAACTCAACCCTGTCTTAACTTGTCATTAACCATTAAATTTAAATCATCATGATGTCAATCTCCTGGCTGCATTTATTCATATATTTATACATATACCCAACTCGCCACTCTGGATAACTTGTCACTGAGTCCTTTTCACTTTGAGGGCAAGTTATCAGGAGTTGACTGTATCATTATTGTTATTATTTTAATTCCTATTATAATTATTATCAGTTATTATTGTTATTACATGCATAGGGTATGGCTAGCACACTCACCTCGCAAGTGAGAGCACTTTGGTTCGATTCCCAGCAGGGAGAAACTTAAGGTAAGTTTCCTTATTCCACACGCCTCTGTTTAATTAGCAGTAAGTAGGAACACGGTTGTTAGTCAATTGGTGGATCGCTTTCTCGGGGTAATAATCCCTCCACAAAACAACAACATTTGGTCACTCATTCCACGACTGTTTGTGGGACACTGCTGTATGCAATTGGCTGCCGAGTTTTGCCCACAAAATACACAGTCAATTCACTGTACAATATATTCTGTGAAGCGCTTAGAGTAGTCTAAACAATGTGATAAAGTGCTATATCAAAGGCAAGAATTTTAATATATTATTATTTTTATATAATATAATTATTATCAGTTATAATTATTGTTATTACCAGTGTTATTGGTGTTGTCGCTATATTTATTCTTATTATCGTTATTCTTGTTGTTGCTTTGAGAGAACTTAGTTTTCTCTGTACATCAGGTACTGATGTAAATAGATGAATTCAGTCTCCAGGGAGTGCCACAGACGTAGGATCACAGATGGGGATGAGTCTGAATGAGCCATTATTTGCACAAAGTGATACAGAATCGATCGGTCTTCCAACCTGCAGGATTTATCAAAAGCCTATATATAGAGAGAGAATTACAACAGATTCTCACCAGACCATTGAAAGGGGAGACACAGAGAAACAAGACCGAAGCTCCGTCGCACACGTGAGTCTAAGTCTGCAAACAGGATTTCAGCTGAGCTAGTGATAGAAAGTGAGTGGTTTAGAAATACCTCGCTGGTCCTCGTGATTATGATAATACTAATAATCCTTACATTTGATATAGCGTGTTATCATGTCGTTGAGATATCTCTAAGCAGTTAACTTGCACAGTGTGTAGAAATAGCCAATGTGTCTGGAACTTAACCAAGGGATAATCCGCTTCACTTTAAAGGTGGGCAAGACTGTCAAATTTGTGCTGGTGGGTTTAGAGTTGATGCTCTCTTCAGTCTCAGGCGACCACCAGCGCAGTCTGATTATGAGTGGTGTCTGTAGGTGTCTGAGTGGTTGGATTAAATCTGCCAGTTTGACACAAATATTTGGAAAACAAATGTCAGTATTATTCTGTGCTGGGCTGTATCACTCAGTGTTTTGGTAATGTTACATTGTCTATAATGTAAAAGTGTGAAACACTATTTCAGTGAGCGAGTGGTAAATCTATGGAGACAGTGGAGGCAGATAGTGTCAGTTCATTCAAGTGTAAATTACTTGGATTTATTTTGGAAAATAGTATTTTGGTTTACAGTATAGGAATAATGTGAGACATGACAAGTGTAGTATGGCTTGGAAGAACCAGGTACCTTTGGATCTACGGTTCCCAGAGTTTTCCACTGTGTTGTAAATTAATCCATACAGAATTAATTACTATTAACAGCTCCATTATTGTAGCAAGAGACTACCAGGATGGTAGAAGGTGAACTAGATGGATCTTAGTCTTTTTTCGTCTAGCAATTCCTATGCTCCTATGTTTCTATGTAACTCAAACCTATGTTTGATACTGAATCTTACTGCAGACTGCTGGCCTGAAATTCCATCTTGTCTTAGCTAATAAGACTGACCACGTTGTCTTACAGTTTAAGATGTCACAGAACTGTGCAAAAATTCTTAAATTCAGCACTAATTTAGAAGTCTTTTTTATGCATTTTTTAAAAATAGAAGCAGCTTCCAAATTAATAATAATAATAGTAATAATCCTTGGATTTGATATAACGTCTTATCACATTGTTGAGAAGTTTCAAAGCGCTTCACAGAATATATTGTAAAGTGTATTTTGTGGGCAAAACGTGGCAGCCAATTGCGCACAGCAGTGTCCCACAAACAGTCGTGGATTGAGTGTTCACGTACAGTGCACATCAGGGCGGCTTCCGAAAGCGGCAAGTGAGCCTTATCAGGGTGTGCGTGGTGCGCACATGGATGTGGTGCACACAGGGGCGACTCCCGACTGTGATAAAAGGAGCGTCCCAAAACACGTGTGCACAACCTGTGTGCGGGGAAGGAATGTACCGTAAACAACGGAATGTGTTTTTGTATCGGGAGAAAGCAAAAAATTGCAACCGACGATGTTGTGTTTGTTTTGGATTTCGGTTGTACTAAATATTAGATTTAAAGATAAATAAATATTTTCCAAAAAAAAGTGATTTTATGGAAAATTATATGAAATAATCCTTGTATTCGATATAGCGCCTTATCACGTTGTTGAGATAATAATAATTATATCTTTGAATCCCTTTGAGACATAATAATCATTATTATTATGTCTCCAAGGGATTCAAAGATATAATGTAAAATGGATTGACTGTGTATTTTGTGGGCGAAATGCGGCAGCCAGTTGTGCACAGCAATATCCCACACACAGTCATGGAGTGAGTAACCAATTTTATTTATCTGGGGCATTGTTGGCCAGGACACTGGGAGAGAGAAACTCCCTTCTCTTTTCGAATAGTGCCACTGTATCTTTAACAGCACCTCCAACAATGCAATAAATCCTCAGTGCTGCATTGGATGATGCGATTCCAAATACTTGACTCAGAGGTAAATTATTAATTATTATTAATAATAACATCCCAAGGTGCTTCTGTCTAGCACCTTGGAACATCTTCCCAATGAGAATGACGCTGTATAAATCTAACTTTGTTCTTGTTGTGATAAATTGTTGCTGTGAAACATCACAGATTTCCTCCATTACACGCTGCCTAACTGGTACTTGTTATCAACTCTTAGGATCTCGACAGAAGCCACAGAATTTCCTTCCAAACCAGGCAATGGCTCTCCAGAGAAACCTTCTCCTCCTGCTGCTGGTGCTGCTGGCTATTAACACTCAGGTCTCCCGAGCCCAGCACTGGTCTCACGGTTGGTACCCAGGTGGAAAGAGGGAACTGGGCCAAGCTCAGACCCCAGAGGTCAGTCCTGTTGCCTTTTTCTTTAAATTTGTGGGACTCACAGAGCACTTAATAATAATAATCCTTGCATTTGATATAGAGCTTTATCTTGTTGGTGAAACATCTCAAAGCGCTTCACAAGCTATATTGTAAAGTGCATTGACTATGTATTTTGTGGGCAAAACGCAGCAGCCAATTGCGCACAACGGTGTCCCACAAACAGTTTCCTCTCCACGAGTGACATAATACAAAAATTACAAAATAATATGAGTAACCCAATTTTTTTTAGGGATTATTACCTCCAGAAAGCAACTAACACCCAGGTTCCTACTTACTGTCGTGTAAACCAAGAATGTGAGGCAAGGAAACTTGCCTAACATTTTGCCCCGATTGGGAATCAAACTTGGATCCTCTCACTTGCGAGGCGAGTGCACTAACCAATGCGCAACAGGACTCGGGTTTATTCAGTGAAAGATTCACAAGGGCAGAAATTGAGGCAACAGATTTATAAAGACAGACTTTAAACACAGCTGATTGTCTCAGTAGGACCACCCTAACCGAGAGGGCTTTGGTTTGCAGGGTAACTAATAAACCTTGCATTTGATACAGCACTTTTCATGTCTTCTAGACGTCTCAAAGCTCTTCACAGAATAGACTATTAAGTGAATTGACTTTATATTTGTGGGCAAAATGCAGCAGCCAATTGCGCACAGCAGTGTCCCATAAACAGTCGTGGATTGAAGTGACCAATGTATTATTTTTTTCTTGAGGGATTATTATCAGGCGTGTGGTGTAAGGAAACTTGCTCAAGGTTTCACCCTGCTGGAATCAAACCCAGGTCTCTAGCTTGCGAGGCAAGTGCTCTAACCACTGAGCTACAGGACTAAATGGGAGCTGAGTAGGAAGAACCCTTGCTCCCAGTGACTAGTGAGTGCTGTTAAACTAGCAAAGTTCATAGGAACAAACATTTGCTGTTTTGTTTTAGGTTTCAGAAGTATTCCAGCTGTGTGAGGGCGATGATTGTGCCTTCGTGCGAAGCCCAAGGACAAACCTGTTTAGAAGCATTTTGGTAACTGGGCGTATGCACACACACTGCTGACAGTGCACATATGCCGCACTCTCTCAATCTCTCAATCTCTTTTACTCGCTCTCACTCACTTTCCCTCCTTGTGTCACTTTCTCTCTCTCTCACACTCTCACTCTCATTTTCTATCTCTCACTCACTCAAATTCACTGTCATTCAGTTTCTCTCACTCTTACACTCTCTTACTTTCCCTCACTCTCTCATTCTCTCACTCATGCTCATGCTCTCATTCTCTATCTCACTCACTCTCACTCAATCCCTGACTCTTACACACACTCTCTCCCAAACTTACACTTTCTCTCTCTTTCGCACTCTCTCTCTCTCTTACACACACTCTCACTCTGTCTCTCACACACTCTGTCTCTCATATACACACACTCTCTCACACTCTGTCTCTCTCTCACTCTCTCTCACACTGTCTCTCACTCTCTCGCACTCTCTCTTGCACACACTCTCTCTCTTAAACTCACAATTGCAGGCTGACCTAGTGGCTGGACGATTTCAGAAGAAGAAGTGAGGACAGATTGTTGGGGAAGTGACTGGCCACAGAGGTGACGGGAACAAGGGGAAAAGCTCATCAGAAACACCATTCTCAAAACCTACAAAGTGTGTGTTTGTGCCCAGCACATGTGGGCAGTCTGTATAAAGGGGAAAGTTAGCTCCAAGGCATGCGACTTTTGACCGGATATCAATTCAAATCAAGAGTGTTTCTTTTGGCACTGCAGTTACACCTAGTAAAATAAAGACTTTATTTTGCTACAAACATACACTGGCTCCTTGTGTGTCATTAACCATTATTCTGCCCTTCGGATGAGACATTAAACTGTGGCTTCAGTCGCTACCACAGATTGTAGATAGTGGAGCACGGAGACCGGTGAGGAGGGTATTTGAGTATATCCTGTAAAGCACTTTGGGACATTCTTCCGACATGAAAGGCGCTGCATCAAATGATTGATGAAAGATTAATATTATGTTTATTACGTTATTATAATTTAAATTGCGCTGTAGAAGTCATTTCTAAGTGGTTTTCAGTGATGGGTCAGCCAGACCAATACCACTGCCACTTTATATATGAATGGATGTTACTTTTCTTTGTGTGTTTGAACTTCCTAAAATAGCCTTATCACGTTGTTGAGACGTCTCAAAGTCCTGCACGGAATATATTGTAAAGTGGATTGACTATGTATTTCGTGGACAAAACGTAGCAGCCAATTTTTGCAGGAGGTTCATATTTTGTTCACAAGGTATTTTGTCAAACCATTTATTATTATTATTATCAGCATTATTATTACCATTATTATTCACAAACAGTAACCACAGGACTCAGGTAAAGGACAGCACTGGTGTTTATTGTATATTGTTGTGCCAAATTTTGACATTTATTGCACATTCATCTCAAATGCATCTGTGTACACATTGGGCCAACTTCAGACAATATCTGCTTAACATTAAAAAGATCAACCCCCACACCCCTCTCGGTCTCAATTTACTCTAATTTCTCAGCATTTTAGAGCGTCCAGAATTTGACAAATCATTGGCTGACATTGTGTTCGACTGAAAACTTTGCAGCCGTTTTTCTTAAAATGTTCCTAAAAAGAAGAGAAACAGAGTGAATCTTGATCCCAAGTGAGATTTCCCCCTCCCACCTCCACCCAAACCCATCAGTCTGGTCCAGTGAGTCTACAGCGTATTGGATGGACATTGAGCATCACTTAGTGGAAAGAATTATTGAGCGTTCAAGAATTTCACACCAGGGGTCAGATCAGGTCTTGTGTGTGGGGGGGGTTAGTGCTGAGCCACGTTAGTCTGATGAGAAGGTGGTCCTCACGTTACACATGGGGTCCACGGCACAGCTTTCTGTAACACAAACACAGGCATCGCCAATGTCAGACAATATCAATGCACAACATGGGATCAGCCATTCTCTCATCCCCGGTATCAACCCAGGGAATCTCCTCTCAGCCCCTCGATCACCTCGACATCCTTCCTAAACTGGGGTGACCAATACTGGACCTAGCATTCTAACTGAGAGCCAACCTCCCCCCTCTCTCCAGCTCAGCGTCAAGCTCCACCACTGTTAACATTCTGAGACCTTGCCACATGCTATATAAATGCAACTCCCGTCTGCCTGTTTAGGTGGACTTTAAAGATCCCACGGCACTATTCAATAAGAGAAGGGAGTTTCTGTTTCCTGTGAACTGGCCAACAATCCCCCAAATAAAATTGGTGACTCAATATTTGCAGGACTTTGCGGTGCGCAAATTGGCTGCCACGTTCACCCACAAGATGCATAGTCAATGAACTTTACAGTATATCCTATGAAGCACTTTGAGACATCTCGATGATGTGATAAGGCGCTATATCAATTGTATGAAAAATACCATTTGTTGTTGTTTATTTAGGTTTAGCATTACCTCTTTGGTTTTATAATCTACACCCCGATAAAACTGAGGATTCCATTTGCTTTTTTGACAGCCTTGCACACCCGGCTTCCCACCTTTAAGGATTTACGTTCGTTAACCCTCTAAGTCCCGCAGCTGTCATTCTTTTTACTGCTTTAGAAAGGAACCTATGTGGAAATTCACACACGTCCTGAAAGGGACACCGCCTCACGTTTAACACAAGGCGTAGACCATCCAGAACCCTGCAACTTGCGTCTTCTCCCGCACCAGGTTCCGTGAGTTCCATCACCTGCATCCTCGCCCGGCTTCACTGGCTCCGCATCACCCAATGGATCGTACTCGCATTTAAACCTGCTTCACAACTCGCCCCCTCCCTTTCAAAGCTCACCTCCTCTTTGACTATGCTTTTGGTCATCTCCCCCATCCCCCACCACTCCCCCCACCCCATTATTATTTGGACAAACTAACTCATACTGACTAGTTTGGCCAAATATTAATAATGAATATTGTTAATAATATAACGCATAATAATATCCTTTCATTTGATAACCGCGCCTTTCAGATCAGAAGGATTCTCAAAGAGCTTCACAGGATGTACTGTAAAGTGAAGTGACTGTATGTTTGTTAACAAATGCGGCAGCAAATTTGTGTAGCGTGACATCCCAGAAACCACCACTCCTAACAAATCTGTGCATGAAAAACATTCTCCTCACGTCCCTATTTACTATCTTAAATTGATCTTCTCTAGTCACTGCCTCACCAACCAGTGTAAATAATTTCTCCCTACTGACTCTATCAAACCCCTCGATCAGGTCAGCCCTTAACTTGTCGTGTCCCATTGGTAAAGGTCCCGTTCCTCCAGTCTTGGCTGATAGACCATACCCCTCATCCCCAGGTATCAATTGAGTAAATCTGCTATTCACCCCCTCTGTCGCCTTGAGGTCTTTCCTGGCCAGGGCTGGGGAATGAGGACAAATGGACTCACCATCATCGCAGCAGATTCCCGGTGAGGCACACTTGCCACGCTCTGAGCCGCAGGGCCTTCCCGCAGGTTCACACGGGGATGGCAGGTAATTCTCCCCTCGACATCCCAGCGTCTCCGCCGTCCCCACGTAGCAGCCGATGTCCCGCCCGCAGCAAATGCGGGGCCCGAAGCAGCGGCCCCTATCATCCGGGCCACACGGCAAACACTGGAACAGAAGAGAGATTGCATCAGTGTGCAGGAAGCCGGCAAACGTGTTCACCCACAAACGTACACAGTCACTACACTTCACGGCAAACTATAAAAATAAACAATCCCTACATTTAATATAGGGCCTTTCATGTCAGGAGGATATGACTCTTCACAGGTTATTCTGAAAAGGGCAGTGACTGTTTGTAATTTGTCGGGAAATAAAATACACAGTCACTTCACTGAAACGCGGCAGCCAATTTGCTCACAGCAACATCCCACAAACAGCCTTGAAATGAGTGACCAGTTTTATTAGGAGGATTGTTGACTAGGACACTGGGAGAAACTCCCTTCTCTTTTTGAATAGAGCCATGGGGTCTTTAGCCGAACAAGCAGATGGAACCTCTTCTGAAAGATGGCACCTCTGACAATACAACATCCCCCAGCACTGCACTGTAACGTCAGCTTAGACTATGGGAGTTCAAAGGCTATCCTGGAGCTTGAACACACAGCCTTCTGACTCAGAGGTGAGAGTGCTACCAACTGAGCCAGGCTGACATGATACAGAAATTACAGGTTATTACAGGGTGGTTACAAGACATTCACTACACAGTGCCGGCAAGTTCCAGTGAAAAGTGTCTGACTTTACTTGAACAAATTACCCACTTATTGAACAGTTTCAAAAGGCTGTGATCTGGTCTAAGAGCATTGGAAGTGACTAAAATTCTAAGCAATGCTGATTTATGTTTACAAAATCCCTTGTTCCTGTAAACAGCGTTGATCTGTTTTAGGCAAAGCTTAACCCGCAATTTTATGAGTGTGCTTCCCCTTCACATGTAAACTGCACTTCACATAGTCACTGTAAACCTCCCAAAAATAATAATAATAATTCGGCCACTCAATCCACGACTGTTTGTGAGACACTGCTGTGCGCAATTGACTGCCACATTTCACCCACAAAATACAGTCAATTCACTTTACAATATATTCTGTGAGGCGCTTTGAGACGTCTCAATGACGTGATAAGGTGCTATATCAAAATACAAGGATTATTATTATTATATTATTAATATAAACTAACTGCACCATTCAACAACCTCACCAGCAACATGCTAACAAAATGTTGAGCAAGCGGAGAGAAGAGAAGCAGCCTTTTAGGAAAGGACTGGTTCCTTACCTGTCTCATCTGTGTGTCCATGATGGACCTTTTGCCTCCTAAGGGGCAGTTCTGAATGTAACAAGCCATGGTGAAGGGGACAAGGCAGAGGAGGCAGAGAGCCAGGCAAGCGGAATGCATGGTCAAAGCTGAGCAGTCTTGAAGATGAGCAGCTTCGCAAAGGTTTGGAACTGCACTGAGACCTTGGCAGTGCGCACTTCCTTTATACCCTCCAATAATTATCCAGAGTGCAGACACTGTACAATCCCGCTAATTTAGCCCAGACTAAATACATTGTCTAAAGTATTGTAATGAGCTGGATGCCGGCCCCACTCACGATTCACCTGGACTCAGTCACAGCTCCTGACGTCTTTCACTTGTACATTTTTTTTCTAAATTAGTAAAATGGGACTTAATTCATTCAACGACATGAATGCAGAGATTCACAATCTGAATACATTTACCAATTATGTTTTAGTTGTTAATAGTAATAATCCTTGCGTTTGATATAGTACCTTATCATGTCGCTGAGACGTCTCAAAGAGTTTGCTTCACACTGAATATATTGTAAAGTGGATTAACTATTTTGTGAGTGAAAAGTGAAGGTCCCTAAATAAATGCAAGTTGCTGTTGCTGTAGTATTTTGTGTACACAGAATACAATAACAACTGGAAAAGGAAGGATGCTTGAGTCCAGAACACTGGGACTCATCTAAAAAACTGCTCAATGTTGTGATGGGAGGACAGATGGCTGGGTGTTCTGGAAGGGTGAGGTCAACTGAGTTAAACTCAGTAAATTTAATCACTAAAGATGAAGAACGCTTTTTGGTCCATTGGATCTTATCGATCTAGAGCCACGGCCCCTGGTCTGTCTTCCCATTATAGCAGCAAGTTACTTCTGAAATGAATCAATCCATTGATCTCAGTCATCTTCTCTGACAACTTCTGACTCAGCCCTCGATCACTCTCAGTGTAAAGTAAAACTTCCTGGTGTCTGCCCATAACTTTTTATTCCTGGACTTGGACCAGTTATCTTGGACTAGTTGAAAGCATTGTTCTTTATCATGTTTCACAGTTCACATACCTCAATCAAGTCCCCTGCAAGACTTCTCTTTATGTGGGATACAAGAATTTATTACGCTGACTTCCCCTGCCCAAGCATTGATTGAATAAATAACAACACGAACAAATAAATAATAATAATCCTTGCAGTTAATATAGCCCCTCATCGCATCATTGAGACATTGCAAAGTGCTTCACAGAATATACTGTAAAGTGAATTTTTGTGGGCAAAAGGCGGCAGCCAATTGCACACCATAATGTTCCACAAGCATACGTTAGAGTGTCCAGATGTGGCAAATCCTAAATGCAGTCTTAATTTTGGCAGCAGTTTTCTGCAAGTTTCTTTCAACAATAGCTTCAACAATTGGCCAAATTCTGCTCTGCCCCAGATGCTAATAAAATAGAATCAATCTAGATCCAGGAGAGATTTCTCCCCTTTTGGGTACTTTGGGACTCTGAACTTACTTAGTCTAGGTCTACATTACAGTGCAGTGCTGGGGGAATGCTGCATTGATGGAGGCATCATCCTTCGGGTGAGATGTTAAACCTCTTGCCTCTCTTTGTTCAGGAGGACATTAAAGAACCCACAGCACTATTTGAAAAGAGAAGGGAGTTTCTCCTAGGGCATTGGCCCATAATCTGCCACGTTCATCTATAAGTTCACAGTCACAACACTTTACAGTAAACCCTGTGCCCTTTAAGAAGTCTTCCTGATGTGAAACGGTACTATATAACAAATGCAAGAATTATTCAGACTTCACTTTGGAGTGTTAGAAAACTACACTCATGGAATGCATTCCATCTTATCTGCTTTGCTCTGACACAGCGAGAGTGAAATGACGAGTGTAAGCTAAGGTCCTGTATCAATTATATCTTCTGATTTTGCATCTGTACATTAAATTAGTTAGTTAATGGCTTGTTAATGGGACATTTTGACAATTATTTTAATGAAAAATATGATTTTTTCCTGCAAGTCCGTGATCTGTCAGAATTCATTTCAATTAATTGATGTAAATTGTATTAACCCGAAAGGTTACATACTTATTCAGTTTACTGATGTGCATGTTTGATGCCCAGTCTAACTCAACAGTCCTTTCTGTTAACTTTCTTGCATATACATGTGTTTATAGTAATGATTGTTGGATTCTCTTTCTTTCTCTTTCTCTTTCTCTTTCTGTATTCATCTTTTTCTATATCTATCAGATATAGACAGCAATCTCAATGGCAAGCTATGTAGTTTTAGTTGGTTCGACTCCAGCAGTTATCCCAACGCACACTCTGGGGTCCCCAAGCCTTGGCTCTTACCAACCGGGCTAATACTTTCAGGAATTAAGTAAACAGGATGTGCCCCTCCAGGGAGAGAGTGCACATTCCATTCCAACAATCTATCTCTGGGATGTCCATGTGTAGGTGGGATACATGGAATTGTCAGCTTGGTTTGAATGCTTTTAAGAGCATGATGATGGGTTTCCGCTGTTGGCAAACATCTGGCTACCCAAAACAAAATCTATCTGTGTTTCTCTGTATTTGTCTGTCTCTTTAAGTGCTGCGAGTTGCCCTGCATGAAGGCTATATAAATGCATGTTGTTGTCTCTCACACTTCCTCTCTTGGCACAGCCATTGAAGGTAAGAAGACAAAATAGGAATAAATAAAAGCCATTTCAATCCATTCACAAGATCACAAGATTGATCTAGATGGCCTTTGGGCCATCAGATCTTATGCCTCCAGATCACCCCCCCACCACCCCCCCACCTCCACCCCATTCATTTAGCTCTTACCTTCCAAAAACAACTCTATCATTGATACAACCTCTTAGGAGAAATTGCTTGAGCATTGGAGGAAGTCAAGTTAAACCCCACCTTGTGCATCCATTCCCAACGTCCTATCTACCTTGACTTTATAACCTCTCAAATAATTCCTCCCTTAATATTAATAATCCTTGCATTTGATATAGCATCTTATCATGTCATTGAGACGTCTCAAAGCGCTTCACAGAATATAGTGTAAAGTGAATTGACTGTATACTTTATCGGCAAAACACAGCAGCCAATTGCATACACACATTATCCCACAAACACTCCTGGATTGAGTGACCAAATTTATTTTTTGGCGTGGGAGTGATTATTACTCCTGGAAAGTGATCTGACAGTCGAATAACAACCAGGTTCCTACTTACTACTAGGTAAACAGAAGTGTGTGGAGTAAGGGAACTTGTTTAAGGTTTCACCCTGCCTGGGAATCAAACGCGGGTCCTCTCGCATATGAGGCAAGCACACTAACCACTATGTTACAGGACTCAACGATACTCTCTTGTAGTACTAAAGGTCTTTGCAATACAATATGGGTAAAAATTCATGTGGAGTGTAAACACCGGCATGGATTGGTTGGTCGACTGGTCTGTTTCTGTGCTAATTCATCTTTTGTAAATCTCTGTGGTTTTGGTGACCTTGACATAAAAGGGCTGCTTCGGCCAATAGAGGTGTATAACATTTTAAATTGGATTGGGAAAGTAACAATACTTTAGGATGCATAAAGACAGTAAAACAAGGGGATACAGGTTTAGGGTTGTAAAGACACCAGGAAGGTTTTCTTTTCCAGGATGTAATTAACAAATGGAACAGGGTTACCAGGAAAGGTGGCCCATGGGCTGTCAAGCAGCAACTCCCGAACATTTGCACAAGTCTAAGTCAGTCCATCTTCGACTGTTACTTTTTGACCTGGGCTCCCAGCTCAGGTTCCAAGCTAAAATTGTTGAGTGCCCTTGGGACATCCTCCTGACGTGAAAGGCTCTGTATAAGTGTAATCTTGTGCTGTAATGTATTTTACGCGATTCATTTGATCCCGAGACCCCAGACGTGAAAGAGCATAAATAGCTTTGAGTTAGCTGCTGATTAGTCACCATGACCATTCTCCTACATATGCATTAGCCAGTGCTGGGTGTGCGTCAGTGTCATGCCTGTGAAAGGAAGGGAAATGTACCTACTGTGCATAATCAGATCCAAATGAATTAAATTAATAAAACCATGGGCTAAAAACAGGCATTCATACTTGCCTGCAAATCCTGTCACATTCTTTTACCTAATGGCTTTTTTTTAACCAAAATTCCTCTCGTGTCCTGGCCAACAGTTCCCCCCGCTAAAATCAGTCGTTCTATTTATGATTGGTTGTGGGACACGTCAAACTGCTACTCGAAAAGAGAAGGGAGTTTCTCTCTCTCGGAGTCCTGGCCAAAATTCCCCCGATTAAAATTGAAAGTCCTCACTTCATGGCTGTTTGTGAGACATTGCTGTGTGCAAATTGGCTGCTGTGTTCACCCACAACATACAACTCCACTTTGCAGTATATCCTGTGAAGCACTTTGAAAATTCCTTCCAACATGAATAATATAAATAATAATAATCCTTGCATTGATATAGTGACTTATCACGTCGTTGAAACATCTCAAAGCACTTCACAGAATACATTGTAAAGTGGATTGACTGTATATTTTGTAGAGGAAACACGGCAGCCAATTGTGCACAGCAGTGTCCCATAAACAGTCGTGGATTAGGTTCCAACATTTATTTTTGGTTACTGTTATATTTGCCACCAGCAGCAGATTTATTTTTTTGCTTGAAAGACAATGGCTTTCATTGAATTTGTTTGTTCAGAGAAATCTGAAAAATTTAAGAGAGAGCGATTGAGAGAGATATAGAGAAGTGGAATGCATTCCCCCAGAAGGTTCTAAAAGCAATGTTAACCGGGATGTTTAAAAGCTATTTACTTTGGAAGTAAGAGCATTAAGGGTAGACTGGCTCAGTTGGTAGTGCTCTCACCTCTGAGGACAAGCAGCAGGAAGCTTGCCAGTTCCCTCAATGACAAGCTGTGCAGTTTTAGCTGGTTAAACTCCAGCACTTACAGTTGTGGATTGAGTAAGCAATTATTATAATTTTGTATTAAATACACCCGGAAAAGCAATCAAATAGATTTTTCCAAGACATTTATAGGTGACGGTGCTCAGAGCCTTGAAATTGATCCACTGGGAGACAAAGATCCAATGGAGACTGTTGAGGACTGGAGTGATGAGTGTGCAGAGTTTGGTGTGGGTGAGAATGCGGGTCAGAGTTTTGGATGTGTTTGAGCATGGTGATAGGTTACCTCAAGATCTGGGTGACCAAAAAAATGACATTATTAGAAATGAGAAAAGAGTTTCTCCTGGTAAACTGGCAAACAACCCTTAACGTAAAATTGTTCATTCACTCCATGGCTGTTTGTGGGACATTGCCATGCCCAGATTGGCTGTCGCGTTCGCCCACAAAACACAGAGTCAAAATTTGCCTCATTAATCCTCTTTACCTCCTCCCGACGTGAAAGGCATTATATCATATCTAAGGATTGTTATTATAATTTAAGCTCTGCGTGCCTCCAGATCAGCTGCTGCTCTTCTCATTGGCTGTCGCCGCTATCACTCTTTCAGCCTGGTTCTGCCCTCCTTCAAATTATATATTTAATAATGTGGTCACTCAATCCACAACTGTTTGTGGGACACTGCTGTGTGCAATTGGCTGCCACATTTTACCCACAAAATACATAGTCAACTCACATTACAATGTATCCTGTGAAGCGCTTTGAGATTACTCGAAGACATGATAAGGTGCTGTATTAAATGCAAGGATTATCATTGTTATTCAGATTTTCATTAAAAAAATGGTGATAGCTGTAATCCAAGAAGAACCAGCTCCTGATTAATGATCACGCCAATGTCAATGTGATCACATCTCATAATGTGCTCACTTGCCAGCTCACCCTGAGCACTGTAATTCCATCTAGTTTTAGCCATTTTGCCTTAAAATTTCAGAAGGAACCTCTTCACGCAGAGGGTAGTGAGATTGTTCTCCATTGAATTTTTCATCTGAATGACGGCATCTCCGACAACACAGTACAACCCCAGCACGGTACTGGAGTGTAAACCTAGACTATATGAGTTCCAAGTCCCGATGTGGGGCTTGAACCCACAACCTTCTGACTCATAGGTGAGAGGGCTACCAACTGAGCCAAGCTAAAACACTTATATTGTGCAAAAAGAAGAAATTGAACTAAATATACATTCAGATACTAACATTTAGTGAACCTATCTCTTGGACCTGGAGCAGATCTTTAAGTACCTTCATGACCTTGTCCCACTCTGTAATTTCCAGCCCATACACTGCACTCCTTCACTTCTCAATTCACCTTTCTTCATCCCAACCACTCCCAATCCCACCATTGGTGGCTGACCTTTCACCCATAGTATCCTCACCCTCTGGAAGTATTTTAAAATCGCTCACCTACAGGGTCACACTCACTAAACTTTACAGTAAAAATCATGCGAAGCGCTGTGACAACATGTTGTAGCACGATATCAAATGTAAGGATTGTTATTGCTTAAAATGTTTTTGTCTTGCACTCTCTCTCTCTGCTTTAAAACCATCTTTAAATACTGTTGTTTATAAATTCCACCTGGGTGTAGTTTTACTCTACTCGGATTTAACATTTCTGAGAGTGCAGAATTTGGTAAATTCTTAAATGCAGACTTTTCTGTGGTCAACATCCTCAACCTCCACTCCTTGTCTCCCTACTCATTCTCTGCAACCCCATCCTCGAGCCTATCCGACTCAATCCCTCCCTCCCTTCTTTCAAGGTTTGTCTCAAAACTTAGCTCTTTGACCGCGCTTTCAGTTATCTTTAACCCTCCCCACTCCCGTCGACTCTAGTCTCCTAGGCTTGTCCCTCGTCCCCTCCTCTCCACCATCAGTGCTCGCACTTTCAGCCATCATCCTCTGAAGCTTTAAAGCTCTCTCCCTCAATCCCTCCACCTTGCCCCCTCTCTCCCCTCTTTTAGATCATGACTGAAGACCTTCCTCTTCGACCGTGCTTATGGTCACCTCCTCCCTCCCCCCGGCTCGGCATCAGGCTCCACTACTGTTAAGCGCTTCGACACTCTGCCCGCGTGAAGGGTGCTATATAAATGCAAGGTGTTATTGTTGTTGACTCAATGCCTTTCAAGTCGGGAGGACATCCCAAGGCACTTGTCTCCCATTCCTGGCTCAGGTGCTCAGCCAGAATTGCCAAGCGCTTTGAGACATTCTCCTGACAATGGCAGGTGCTGTACGAATGTAAATGTATCCCACTCCTCTGCCCGCCTCCTTGGCTCAGCTGGCACAGAGCTACTGGCACATTCCCAAGCTACCATCGGTGACGTACCTTCAACCACTAACCTCTGGAACTCTCTGCCTTAATCTCCCTCTGTCTTGTCCCTCTTTAAATCCCACCTTAACACTTATCTCTTTGATTGCACTTCATGGCTGTTTGTGGGACATTGCTGTGTGCAAATTGGTTGCTGCATTCACCCACAAAATACAAGCAGTCAGTCAACTTTAGTCTATCCTGTGAAGTGCTTTGAGATAGCTCAACAACATACTAAGGCACTATATCAAATGCACGATTTATTACTATTATTGTAGTTATCTCCCTCTCCCCCATGGTCAGTATCCAACCCCGCCGTTAGACAGCGTTCTAGGACATTACCATGTGTGTATAATTATATAATAATTCTTGCACTTAATATAGCGCCTTATCACGTTGTTGAGACATCTCAAAGTGCTTCACAGAATATACTGTAAAGTGAATTGACTGTATATTTTGTAGACGAAACACAGCAGCCAATTGCGCACAGCAGTGTCCCACAAACAGTTGTGGATTGAGTGAAGGTTGAATACAAGCTGTTGTATCCCCACTGTTGCTTTGAACCGTTTTCCTCAGTGAAAGTTCTTGCGTGGGCGAGAGTTGTCACTGATCTGATTTTTGCACACGGAAATAAATCCACAAAAGACAATGCCAGACTGCAGTTATGTTAAGCAATAAAATATTTTATTTGGGCTGTAAATGTACACATGCTTGCTTAAATGCCTCTTTGATGAGCTATTCAACAGTGGGAAGATTTGACTTGCACTTTTATTTTGAAATATATTTTTAAAAATTAAGAGTTTAGGAAACAAACCAAAATCTTAATTTGACACAATGTATAATTAGTAACTCTCAGCATTTGAAAAGGGGCTCTGGGATAAGAGTGGAGGAGTGGGACTGGTCGGTAGCTCTTTCAAAGAGCCGGCACAGGCACAGTGGACCGAATGGCTTCCTTCTGTGCTGTAAGATTCCTTAATTCTATAAATATTCAGTTTAACACCCCAGGATATGTCATCAAAGAAGAACTTTGTTATAACACTCTCTGAGACTTATAGTAAGTTACTGATACAAAATTATAAGTGCAAGTTGTTGATGTTGTTGTGGGTTATGGAATAGCATGCATTGCTTTACGTCTCGCTGATTAATACAGAAACCATATAAAACACCCTCTCCAAAACATGCTCTTTTCCTATTGTACGTTTTATTTTCAAAGACAGCATTAAAGATCGTGCCTGCAGTGTATTATTTGATACCGCCTGGTACTTCTTTGGGGTTGCCTTTGGACAAGAGCATTAATCTTATGAGGAGGTTGGTGGCAGCACTGTCTGTATGGGTCAAGTTTCTTCCCACGTTAAAGTGTATCCCTTCGTTCTCATTCTCCGAGCACACAGAGTCCACTGTGCAGCTCTCTGAAAGGCAGGAAGAAAAATAGTCAAGACATTACTGATGCACAATAAGAAAAAGTAGCTTGCAAATTCGTGGCTGTCTGTGGGACACTGACTGTGTGCAAATTGGCTGCCGTGCTTGTTTTACACAGTCACTGCACTTCACAGTAAATAACTAAAAACTCGATTCTTACTTACTGCTAGGTAAACAGCCGTGTGGTGGTGTGATAAGATGCTATATCTAATGCAAGGAGGATGATTATTATTATTATTATTTGACCAGTCACTGTGGCCAGGGAATCCTCTTACTCGACCCGTGTTAACCCTGCAAGCCAAAGCCCTAATGAGTAGGGTGATCCTAGCTGTACAAGCAGTGGGAAAGCTTGCCAGTCAGCGATATCAATGGCAAGCTATGTGATTTTAGCTGGTTAGACTCCAGCAATTACCCCAACACACATTCTGGGGTCCCCAAGCCTTGGCTCTTGCCAACCTGCGCCTAATACTTTCTGGAATTAGGTAAGCAGGATGTGTCCCTCCAGGGAGAGAGTGCGCTTTCCATTCCAACAAGTTATTTCTGGGATTTCCATGTGTAGGTGGGATGCATGAAATTCTCGGTTTGGTTGGGATACTCTTAAGCATGGTGATGGGTTTCCGCATATATCCCAGCTGACCAAAAAAAAAAATCAATTAAGGATTTTCCACAATTCTGTACTATTTAAGGTGCAAACCAAGAGAAATTTGCCAATAATGCAGCCAATTTGTGCATATTAACATCCCACAAACAGCCATGGAGTGAATGACAACAACAACAAAAACTTCCATTCACAGTAAACTCGACCCAGGCTTAACTCTTCAATATCGCTTAAGTCGTCAATATCCTGTTTGCTTTCTATGCAAAATGTTAATAAGGACTTCGCTTCGCATGGACAAGGAAGGGGCAAGATGGAAGGATTGAGGCAGTGAGTGACTAATTTTATTTGGGTGCTTGTTCTGGCCCCGCATTTGCTGTGGGCTGCTACATGGGGACGGACAATGGGAGAAACTCCCTTCTCTTTTCAAATAGTGCCATAGGATGTTAACGTCCAGGTATACAGGTAGACAGAACCTTGGTTTAACGTCTCATCCGAAGGACAGCAACTCTGACAGTGCAACACACCCCCAGCATTGATTGGAGTGTAATCTTGGACTATATGATTCCAAGTACTAACATGGGGTTTGAACCCACAACCTTCTTGACTCGGAGGTGAGAATGGTGACTGACTGAGGCTGGCTGATGACCAAGGTTTGTGTTTTGTGAGGTAATTGCAAAGTAATGGGGATTTTACCATCATCACAGCAGATTCCCGGTGAGGCACACTTGCCGCGCTCTGAGCCGCAGGGCCTTCCCGCGGGTTCACACGGGGATGGCAGGTAATCCTCCCCCCGACATCCCAGCGTCTCCGCCGTCCCCACGTAGCAGCCAATGTCCCGACCGCAGCAAATGCGGGGCCCGAAGCAGCGGCCCCTGTTGTCCGGGCCACACGGCAAACACTGGAACAGAAGAGCGGGGAGGGGGTGGATTGTTAAGTTCTTTGTGAAGAAAGTTTTGTTCTAACTGTGGAGTCCTGTATTGTAGTGGTTATTGCATTCACCTCGCAAGCAAGCGGACTCGGGTTCGATTACTGGATGAAACGAAATCTTAGGCAATTTTCCTTACTCCACACGCCTGTTTACCTAGCAGTAAGTGGGAACCCGGTTGTTAGTTGATTGGTGGATCACTTTTCCAGTGGTAATAATCCCTTCAAAAAAATTCAAATAATAATAATTTGGTCACTCAATCCAGACCATTTGTGGGACACTGCTGTGTTCAATTGTGTGTGAAGGGCACTGTATAAATGCAAGTTGTTGTTATCTAAACGACGTGATAAGGCTCTATGTCAAATGCAAGGATTATTATTCTATAATTATATATAATTATATCCAGTGCTTTTCATGTCAGGAGGCTGTCTCACTTCCAGGGATTTTCTGTAAAGTGCAATGACTATAATTTGCATGCAATGTTGGAACTGAAGGTTGAGACCGGCTCATTGGTAGTGTTCTTGTCTCTGAGTAAGAAGGTTGTGGTTCGAACGTCCCGTTGGGACTTGGAATCACATAGTCTCAGCTAATACTCCGATGCCGTGCTGGCGGGTGGGGAGGGGGGAGGGGTTGCAATGTTTGAAACCGAGATCCCATCTGCCTGTTCAGGTGGACGTACAAAGATCCCAAGGCATTATTTGAGAAGGGCGTTTCTCCTGGTGTCCTGGCCAACAAACCCCCAAATAAAGTTGGTCACTCACTTCATTACTGTTTGTGGGATATTGCTGTGCGCAAAAATGGCTGCTATGTTTCGCCAACAAAATACAGTCAATCCACTTTACAGTATATCCTGTGAAGGTGCTATATCAAATGTAAGGATGATTATTATTATTATTATTATTATAATTATTATTATTCAGCGCCTTGGGACGTCCTCCTGACGTGAAAGGCGCTCTATAAATGGAATCTTGTTGTTGTTGTTGTTGTATTATTATATTATTAGTAGAATTACACCCGTAACCGCTGGAACCCCCTTCCTCTACCACTCTTTCTGACTTTATGTCTCACCTCAAATGCTACACCTGTGAACAAGCTTGCACCACTCCTTTTCCCCTTGGTGATTCCCTTCTTCTTCTTCATGCATGTATGAAGTTTCTTCTTAAATGCATTGATGCTTTAAGCTTCAATCACAGCTTCCTGCAGCGAGCTCCATATTCTCACCACCTTCTGCATGAAGGCGTTCCTCCTAAACTCCCTGTTAGATCTGCTACTGGCTGTCTTAGAATTGATACCCTCTAATTTTGGACTCACCAACAAGTGGAAACAGTCTATCAACATCCACTTTATCAAATCCTTTCATAACCTTAAACACCTTGATCTGATTCCCCTCCTGATGGTCTCACCTCCAAAGGGAAAAGCTCTAACCTGTGCAATACTTCCTGATAGCTGTAGCCACTCACGCCTGGTCATTGCAAATGGTTTCACCTAAGGAAGAGAAAAGGCAGGGTTTCCAACCAGAAACCTTAACCCTTCGCTTTCTGGTGCTCGAATATCCAGCTGTGAATATTCAGCATTTGCCTTTGTTATTGCCAGTAATCTACTTTATCTTCTGATTTCTAGATAGTGTCTCGCTAGAGTTTAAACTGATCTTTCATTTGATTCACATTACTTAGCTGCTCAGCTCTGGAGAGAAATCCCACTGGGGTCTAGATGCACAGTACTTGAATTATGGAGCCCTGTGAAGACTTGTGGAGTATGAAGGTAGATATAAAGATTGCAGTGCTGGAGACTTTGTATATGAATAAATTGCACACTCTTAAGTGTAGCCACTGTGTATATTGTAGGCAAGTAAAAATAATAATCATTACATTTGAATCAGGTCGCCAATTTGCATTAATCCATGTCCCACAAAAGAGTCAAGGAGTTAATAACCCATTTTATTTGGGGGATTGTCAGCCAGGACACCGGGAGAAACTCCTTTCTGTCTTTCGAGCAGTGCCACAGGAACTTTAACGTCTTGCTGAACAGGTTGGTTCAAAGTCTCATCTGAGAGACGAAACCTCCAACAATCCAGTGCACCCTAACACTGTACTGGACTGTCAGTTGATGCAGGCCTTGAACCCACAACCTTCTGACTCAGAGGTAAGAGCTACCGACTGAGCCAGGCTGAAAGTCAAACAGCATACTGCTGAACTCATATAAATTGAACAACTGGCCAAAACGCTACTGCAATCCCCTGAACAATTGTAGAAGAAAGAACAAAGCGAATAAAGGGCGAGTCCTGTGAGAAACTTGAATTCTTCAACACAGTTTACATTCATACATCACATTTCAAGTCAGAATGACTCATTTTATTTGAGGGATTTTTGGCCAGGACACTGGAAGAGAGAAACTCCTTTCTCTTTTTGAATAGTGTGATGGGATCTTTAACGTCCACCTGAATGGGCAGATGGGGTTTAATCTCTCATCTGAAGTACGGCACCTTCAACAATGCAGAACTCCCTCCCCCCTCCCAGCATTATGTCAGCCTAGACAGTGAGGTCAAAGTCCCAACATGGAGGTTTGAACCTACAACCTTCTGACTCAAAGGCAAGAGAGCCAAACTGAGCTAAGCCAGTACCTTGGGAGTGCTGTGTGTGTGGGGGGGTGAGGGGGAGCGAGGGTGGGGTGGGTAGTGTGTGTAAAAAAACAGTGTCTGATTGTAAATCTGCCTAGAACTGATTCAACAACTCCAACCAAACCCCAACCTCACAAAAAAGAAATAAATCTCATCCATAAACTTTCAAGGGTGTGAGAAAGTTTGGAAGATTTCTACTTCTTAAATACAATCAACAACAACAACAAAATTACATTTGTATAGCGCCTTTCACGTTGGGAGGACATCCCAAGGCACTGGACACTCAGAGTTTCGATCCAGAGAGGGGTGTTAATAATAATAATCCTTGCAATTGATATAGCACATTTCATGTCTTCTAGACGTCTCAAAGCGCTTCACAGAATAGACTGTAAAGTGAACTGACTATATTTGTGAGCAAAACCCGGCAGCCAATTACGCACAGCAGTGTCCCATGAACAGTTGTGGATTGAGTGACCACATTTTTTTTGAGGGATTAATTTAAGAATCTCGAGTCCTTTATCAGACAATGAAAATGGTAGATTTAAAATAATACTCACTCCGAGTGGAAGCTTTACCCTCCTTACCTGCCTCATGGTCACCTCCATCGCTGATCTCCTGCCTCCTCTGGGGCAGTTTTGGATGTAACAAGCTGAAGAGAAGGCGAGAAGGCAAAGCAGCCAAAGAGGGAGAGAGAGTTCAGGCATGCTGGTAACGTACAAATATTGCGCTTTGTACTGGTAACTGAAACAGACCAGATCCTTATTTATACTCTCAAGTAATTCTGGCATAGACGTCATTAGTTTCTACCAATTCATCTCTGCATAAATTCAATTTTTTTTGAAATGCTGATTTTAATGACACCATTCGATTGCTAAGCACGTTCCAGCTTTTCCATTCAAACATCACATCTTGGGGACTTTTTTTAAAGTTATTATCGTTATTACAAAAACTTATTGCAAGTCATGCAAAAGTTTGGCAGCTCTTCGAGGGGAAGGTTAGACCAAAATGAGCCAGAACTGCACAGAGGGCATCATTCTGTGTGCTCATCTATGCTGGGGAGAAGATACGAGCAGGTAGAGAGTCCATCGATCAACCCTATTTCCCCATAAACGCTTCTAATTCTGTGCTCCCAGTGGCTTCAACTGTTCTTTGCAATCTGAGCGAGCGAATGAATCACACAAAATACAGCTGTGCATGTGTGTGTGTGTTTGTGTGTATAGGGAACAAAAGATATCTTCTTTCTAAACCATTTGTGCACTCCCAACGTTATGTTAACACATAACCTTGGGAAATGCATGAATCTCCTCGAGAATGTTGATTGAGTTTACAAAACTCTCAGCTTTTATTGCGTCTCCTGCATTTTATTGTGTCTGTCCTCCGCCCTTGGGTAGTTTAAAAATATACGACACTGGCTCCGGCCTCTTGCTTGTCCCTTGTTCCCTCCACCTCACCATTGTCGGCCATGCTTTCAGCCTTCACACCCCGGAACTCTGGCATTCTCTCCCTCAATCACTCCAACTTGCCCCCTCCTTCCACACCTTCAGGTCGTAGCTAAAGACCTTCCTCTTCACCTCTCCCCTCCCCTGGCTTGGCGTTGTGCTCTGCCACTGTCAAGCGCTCTGGGTTGCTACGCTGCATGAGGGGTACTATATAAATGCAAATAGTTGCTATGAGTTATAACTGAAATATCCTGTGCAAAATAGAAATCCAGATCTCAGCTGAACAAAATTATCTGAATTATATTAGAATGCACTGCTGTATCAGAATATACTCTTTTATATCATCTAATAATCCTTACATTTTATCCAGTGCCTTATCATGTCGTCAAGACACCTCAAAGTGCTTCACAGGATTCAATAATCCACACAGTTTGCACACAGCAATAATAATTAACCATTTACCACAGCATCATGAAAGGCTTTGACACGTCCTGCAGAGGTGAATGGCGCTTTATAAATGTAAATTTTGTATTGTAAAGTGCAGTGACTGTGAATTTTGTGGGTGGACTTGTGGACTTTCAGGGGGAAAAAGCCTTTAACTTCACACTGGTATGTCAAGTATTGCAAAAGCTTCTAAATATTATAACTTTTAGCGTCCTATTCCCTTTTAATAAAAAAATTTGCATTTGATTCAGCACCTAAAACTTCAAGATCACCTTAAATGTCCAGTGACTGTGTATTTGTAGATGAACGGAGCGGTCAATTTGGACACAGCAGTAATAATATTCCATTTACTAAAGCCTTTTACATTGGGAAGCCATCTTAAAGCTGTTCATAGGATTTCACTGTAAAGTGTAGTGACTGTGTATTTTATGGGCAAATGTGGCAGCCAATTTGCACACAGTGTTCAACAACCTGTCATGGAATGAGTGCCCAATTTTATTTGGGGGATTATTGACCAGGACACTAGGAGAGAAACTCCCTTCTCAAATAGTATCACTGGATCTTGTTAATAACCAACTCAACAGGACACTTCGAATCTGAAGAAAAATACATATTTAAGTAGCACAGGAGAAAATTTAGCATGTTTGTTTGTTTTGAAGAAAGTTTTGACCAACTTATGTTTACTATTTTAAAGTTCAATGACCTACAAGTGGTAGCATGGATGAGTAGAGAGAAGGGGAGGGAGTTAGAGAGGCCGAGGTATAGAGAGACAGACGAGACAAAGGCAGAGACAGAGAGTGCGAGTGAGAGATAGACAGGGGGGGAGGGAAATACAAAGAGGGGGAGAGAACAAGAGGCAGACAGACAAATAGATAGACAAATAAAATGCAAAATACTGCAGATGCTGGAATTCTAAAAACAAAAACAGAAGTCACAGAAGCAGGTCAAGTAGCATCTATGGAGAGAGGAAAGTGAGTCAATGTTTCGGGACCACAACCCTTCATCAGAACATGGCAGCCAATTTGCCAGTTCTGACGAATGATCGTGGACCCGAAACATTGACTCACTTTCCTCTCTCCATAGATGCTGCCTGACCTGCTGAGTGCTCCCAGCGACTTCTGTTTTTGTTTTCAAACACATACATAGATATGGGGATGAGAGGGGTGGGAGGGTGAAGACACAGACAGAGAGACAGAGAAAGAGGGAGAGAGATAGACTGACAGAGAGAGGGAGGAAGGCAGAAAAACACAGAAAGAGGGAGATAAAAAGATGGAGCCAGTCATCAGGGGAAGGGAGGGAAGGAGAGGGATGGAGAGAGAGAACATAATAGCATAAGAAATGCGAGACGAAAAAAGACCAAGGCCCATCTAGTTCGCCTTTCACCTTCCTGGTGGTCGCATGCACATATGTCCTGAGCTACCTATGTACTATATCCCATAATGCTATTTCCTAAAAGAAAACTATCTAATCTGTGTTTGAAAGAATCAACACTTCCTGCTTCAACTGTCTCCCTAGGGAGCCAGTTCCACAGGTTCACTATTTGCTCCTTGAAATGGCGTTTGTGTAGATTCGTTCTGAATTTACCCCAATCACAGGCCGTGACCTCTGGTTTTACTATTCCGGACAAGTTGAAACAGCCTGTCATGATCTATATCATCTTACCCCTTTAGAATCTTAAAGACAGCAACCGTGTCGCCTCTCAATCTCTTTTCCAGCGTGTACATGCCCAATTTACTTAGTCGCTCCTCATAGTCTGGTCCTTCCATTCCCTCAATCATTTTGGTTGCCATCCTCTGTATCTTCTCGATTTCTCCAATACCCTTTTTGTACTGCGGCGACCAGAACTGTACACAGTGCTCTAGATAAGGTCTCACCAATGATTAATCCAGTGGCAGGATTACCCCACTATTTCGGCTTGCTATTGATCTTTTGATACATCTGGTTTGCTTTACTCACTGCCACAGAGAATTGTTGGGAGAGCTTCAATTTATTGTCATTCAGGACCCCCAAGTCCTTTTCATTTTCCATACATATTATTTTCCTTCCATTCAAATAATAGTCCCTTCTTGGATTTTTTGTCCGCATGTGAAGTATCCCATGAGAGATAGAAAGAGAGAGAGAGATGAACAGATAGAGATGGAGAGCAAAGAGGATTGAGACAAGAGAGGAGAAGGGAAAGAGAGGTGAGGGAGTTAATGAGAGAATGAGAGCAAGGGGGAGGGAGCCAGATAGAGGGAGGGGTGGGGGAAGGAGAAGCAGAAAGAGCATCAGAGAGACAGAGAAGAGGAGGGGTAGGGAGAGGGGAAGATAGGGAGGGAGATAAGAGATAAAAAAGGAGAGCAGAAAGGAAACACAGAGAGAGTAAGACAGTGAAAGAGACGGTGGGGGAAGGGATGAGAGAGAAGAGGAGAGGGAGAGAGAGAGAGAAAGGGAATCGGAGAGTTTTTTGTAAAAGGGCTTTATATAATTGTTGGAGGTTTTAAAAACACAATTGCCTTATAAAACACCCCAGCACATTATAGGGTAGGTAGTAAAATATATATTTTCCGTTGTCGGTCGACTTTACGTGTTTCTTTGTTTGATAGTGTTTTCCGCTTGTCTGTCTGAATGGCCACAGACTGAGGGGAGGAAATCAATGGCAGAAACCCAGCAGTCAATGTGATGGAAAAGAATTCTAACTCACCCCAGCAGCCAGTTGCTCTGGAGCACAGACAGTATTGTCTTTGCATAATTTGTCTGCTCAGCTAATGTCCATAACTCACAAGAAAAATTAGCTCTGTATCATAATGCACAAATTTCTTCTCCCGAGTTTCCAGGAACGATCAGTTAGCCCAATTTCCAAGATCACAACATTCGGTTTGGATGAAGGAGGTCCTTTGGCCCATCCGATCCCATCCCTCCAGAACACCCACCCTAACAGCCATCACAGCATCAAGCTGCTTTTAAAATGAGTCCCAGCGTCCTGGCCTCAACCTGGCAATCTTTCCTGGTAACCCTGCTTCAATCGTTGAATACCCTCTGCGTAAAGTAAATCCCTTTGCACTCTGGCACCTCCCTACCTTTCTGACCTCCTTTCTCCCCACTCCACTACCCGCTGCATCTGCGCCCCTGTCTCTGGCCTCCTGCTTGCGCCTTGTCCCCTCCACTTTACCATCAGCGGCCATGCTTTCAGCCATCTAAACCCCGAAGCTTTAGAGCTCTCTTCCCCAATCCCTTTGCCTCGCCCCCTCCTTCCCCTCTTTTAGATCACGACTCAAGACCTTCCTCTTCAACTGTGCATACGGTCATCTCCTCCCTCCACCTGGCTCAGCTTTCTGTTCCATCACTGTCAAGCGCTCTGGGATGCTGCCCTGTGTGAAGGGTGCTGTACAAATGCAAGTTGTTGTTGTAAAGAAAATCCTGCTGGTGTCTGTCCTGAAATTACCCTTTACAACTCTAAACCTGTGTCCTGTTGTTCTGTTGTCTTGGAGCTTCCTAATGTATTGTTCTCGGTTACTTTCATAATTCCATTTAAAATGTTATACACTTCTATGTATCGTCTTGAGCGGTCTTCTCTCAAGACTGTCAGTTTCTGCGACAGTAATGTTAACGCTGTCAAATCTCAACAACAAGACATCACTACGACTGTTGGATCTCCTTATCTCACTGCGAGGACTGTGCCAATCATTTTCTTCTGGAGACTTGCGGATGCAAAAGAAATGAAGCATTATCGTGCTCTGGCACACAACACACAGATTAATTCACCGGATCAGCTTATTGAATGTGACGGTTTGTTTATCTGCATTAAAGTGCTGTTTACCAATGCATAGGTACAACTCGAAAAATAAAATTGAAACAGTCAAGCCAACAA